ATTTCCTCGGATTTCATGGCGCCCCTTCTTGTTTCATTGCGTCCCTGGTCCCCCCGCTGGGCCGCGCACATGCCGCCGGTCATGATTTGCACCCCCCCCCCCTCTTGGACACCCCCCTCTTTGCCGCTCCCGAGATCGGTGTTGGTGTATGGCTGGTGCCTTCCTGTTGGAGGATGTCATCTGTCCCAGCTCCGGCCGTGCCTGACGGCCCTCGGGATGTGAGCTCTGCAGTCCGCGGCCCCAGCGGTCCCCGATCGCGTCCCTGGGGCCAGCTTCCCCCCCCGCCACGGGCGCACTTCTGGTGGGGAGTCGGAAAGCAGCACGGGTCAGCTCTCATTCGTCGCCCCCCCTTTTTCGTCCCTCCTCCTCTCCCCTCCCCCTCCGCTCCTTGCTTGATGACCCTCCTCCTCTCCCCTCCTTTTTCGCCCCCTCCCCCCCTCCTCGAGGAGGAGGAGGAGGAGGAGGAGGAGGAGGAGGAGGAGGAGGAGGAGGAGGAGGAGGAGGAGGAGGAGGGGGAGGGGGAGGAGGAGGAGGAGGAGGGGGGTGGAGGCAGGTAAAGAGAGCTGGCCTGTGCAGTTCTCCTTCTCCTGTGCCGATGGCTCCAGGGCCCGACCACGGGCCCCCCGGGAGACCCGGACTCGACGAGCAAAAAAAAAGCGCCCGGACGTGTGCAGGAGTGGGGTAGGGCGTGTCCCTCTGCAGGGGGGAACATTCGAGCATGGTCAACACATATTCGGGGGCTCCTCCATCTCCTCCTCCTCCTCCTCCTCCCTCCTCCTCCTCCTCCTCCTCCTCCTCCTCCTGCTCCTTCCCCCTCCCCCTCCTTTGCGCAATCCTGCCTCCTCCTCCTCCTCCTCCTCCTCCTCCTCCTCCTCCTCCTCCTCCTCCGCGCGCGCACGAAGCGCGGGGTGCAGTCCCTCTGCTTGAGGGCAGAGCCCCCAACAGTGACACGTCGACTGGTGAATTGTCCGTTTTCGGTTCTCGAGAGGGCGCCGCGGCCGTTATTTTCCAGGCCTGCGCCCGCCAGGTTTGGGCCTCGGGTCGTCTTCGCTAAACCACGTTTTGCTAAAGGGGGGTCTCTGTCCATCCCCGACATATCTGGGGACGACTCTTCGACCATTCAATTACTGGTTTTTGTTGAGGCAAGTTCTGTCTGTCTTTTTTTCCTTCCCTCCGAATCCGCCTGTAATTACGAGGGGCATGCCCGAGCACAGGAAGCGCACCGTCGGAGATCTGGGCAGCGCAGCGCGTCGGCTGCGTGCAGAGGGCGGCAGGGGGGCAGGGGGAGTCGGGCATAGTCAGGGGACGATGTTCCGACTATGTTTGGCTATTTTGTGGGGCCTTTTTTGCGTGGCTGATTCTTTCAATTTTTTTATCACAAATAGGCCTGCTTAGAAGGCACGGGCCTTGTCTGTAGATGCAAGGCCGGCGCCTTCTAAGGTGCAGCCTGCTTCTATAAGAAGCTTACCCCCCCTCCCCCTGGCCCCCGTGTGCGCGCCGCCAAGGCAAGCTGCGCCGCGGCTTTCCCGTGGCCGATGGGTGCCCAGAGGCCGTGCCCCGGGCCCAACGGCAGTAACAAGAAGATGCAGGATCATTTTTGTTGCTGCGGCGACCCCCAGACCACCTGGAGTTGTGAAACACACGCACGTGAGGTTTTCTGCTATTTTCTACCTCTGGGGGCCCTCGCTGGGCCCCGGGACGGATGGAAAGACGTTCCCGGGGAAGGTGTCCAGACCTCTGGTCGGGACGATCGAATTGGGTACGGAAAGAGTGGGTACGATGCCCAAGAGCAGTTCCTGCTCATTTTGAACAGGACTCGCTGTTCGCGCCGCCGCGGACGTGATGCTTTGAAGACAGATAGCCGCCTGCCCAACAGCGGCCGCTGCCGGTTTTGGACAACATCTGTTGTTGGCCATGGTTCCCATTTTTTCCGTACCCATCTCGGGCGTCCACATCCAGGGGTCGACGTTGTAAAAGGCCCCCCCCCCAAAAAAAAGACACGACGTCGGTCACAAACCCAAGACAGACGCCCAATCCCAAAAACGCGAGGGCCAAGGCAACACGCAGGCTCCTCGAGACTTCGGGGAGGGAGATTTGGGGGCACAGGGTTTTTTACCATGGTGACCACGACGAACGCAAAACATGCCCCGAAACCCTCTGCCGATCTTCGAATCCTCTGTGAATCCGCGATTTTTGGGTTGGGGATGTGTTTTTTCTTAGTCAGTCGGGGGTCTGGGCCCTGAGGTCCAGGCGCTGCATCTCTGCCCACGCCGGGCGCTCTCGCCCCGTGTCGTGCCCTGGGGGCCACCACAGCTCGAGCCGGCGTTCGGGGCATCCTCCCCCTCCTCCTCCTGCTCCTCCTCTTCCTCCTCCTCCTCCTCCTCCCTCCTCCTCCTCCTCCTCCTCCTCCTCCTCCTCCTTCTCCTGCTCCTCCTCCTCCTCCTCCTCCTCCTCCTCCTCCTGGATCGCGCCGCATCGCCGATGCGGTTCGACGTGGGGCCCGAGTTGCTTCACGTCGGCGTCGGCGATGCATCGCCGACGTCGAGGATGCATCGCTGGTGCATCTCCGATGCATCGACGACGCATCGCCGCTGCATCGCCGATGTATCGGCGATGCGGCGCGATCCTCCGACCCCATACTCTCTGGCCCCATCTATGGGAGGCCTCCGGGCTTGCAGTGCACATCGGGAAGATGGGGTCTGGGGCTTCGGTCGCGATTTTGCTGTGATGGCCGATTTGTCTCGCAGGGTCGGGCCTCCTGGAAGCCCGCCCGAGAACGCGAGGCGGGATCTCCCCAGGGAGCGCCGGGCCCCGTGGGGCCAAGTGAACCAGGCGGGGAAAGAACAAACACAGACACAACTCGTCGACGGCTCACAGGAAAATCTGGGAGCGTACAGTCACCCCGCATTTTCAGGATGGGCAGCCTTCCCAAGGGCACCCGTGCATCCTTGCCTCCTCGGTCCATGCTTGGCCGCTTTCGCTGGCCAATCTCGCTCGAAAAGCGTTGACGTGGCCCTCCAAGGGCCTTGCATCCTCACCGCGCATCCTTACTGTGTGGGTCAACTGCATGGGAATCGGGGGGAAAGACGCAAGCGCAGAAAGTACGGGAAAGGATATGGAGAGTCCTGGGGTGTGTATTTATTCGTGCGTCCCTGGGCTCCTTCAGTGAGCGCGGCAGGCAGGCCTCGTTCGTCGAAGAGGCGAGAGGCGGGGCACCCGGGAGGCCGAGGCAGACGTTTTGGCCCGGCGGCCGCGGTGTGCGGGGCGTGCAGGGCGGATCGGGAGCAGTCTCGCGATTCCAAGTTGGGCGTGTCCCCCCTGCAGGAGGCGTTCCTTTGCATGCACACCGCCTTCGGCACCGCCTGATTCCGGGGCTTTGCCCTCTCTTGGCCTTGACGTGAGGCCCCTCCTTCTGCCTTCCCCCCTCTGTCAATTAAAGCTGTGCGCGGCCCGCTTAGCTTCGACCGGAAGAGGCTCGCTCTCGACCCGCGGATCAAAACAGTTCCCCTACAGGAGGAATCTGCAAAAATAGCCCAAGAATAGGATGGGGACGATTTTTGGTGCATTCGTTTGACAAGTATTGCTTGTGCTTGTGACTATTTTTCACTTTTGCTCCAAAACCCCCCTGTAGGGGGACATGCCCGACCTAATTCTAGATCTAACAGCCCCAACCTGTCGGGTGGGAAGAAAGTTTGCCTCGTGGAGCGGGTCGAGAGGTCCAGCGGCCAGATACTCGAACAGCAGAGCGCGAGCGTCCGAGAGGGGGGGTTGCTTCCCCGTGAAAGCCCTGGGCGGTCCCTGTTCACCTTCACCTCCGATGTGGCTGCTCCCTGTCGTCTGTCTGCTTGTCTATCTGCCTGCCTGCCTGCCTGCCTGTCTGTCTGTCTGTCTGTCAGTCTGTCTGTGTGTCTATCTCTTTCTATCCCTCTCTTTCCCTCCCTGTTTTTTTTTTCCTCTCTCTCTCTCTCTCTTTCTTTCTCTTTCTCTCTCGCTTTCTATTTCTGTTGTCTCCTTGTTTTGTTTCTCTCTCTCTCTCTCTCCCTTGTATTATCCTTCTCTCTCTGTCGAGAGAGAGAGAGAGAGAGATGAAGAGAAAAAAAAAGCCACAGCAAACTATGCACAAGCTTTCGGAGGTCCGCGTGGATCTCCGGGGCCCAGCTCTGGCGCAAGAGATCCGCGCGGACCTCCGAAAGGTCGAACTCAAGTCGCTCTTTGGTCTTCTATACCTGCTTCCAGTCCTTCGCCTCCGCTTTCTTTCCCTGCGCGGGGGCCAAGCGATTGTGACCACAGACACACACACATCTTCCTCTGTAAGCGGTCATTCGGCAACGCGCTGGTCACATTGGTGGAGGATTACACACTGACACAGCGCATGCTTTGCAGCAGGGCTGTGGCAAACTGGGCAACTGATCGTTGTTGTTCGTGGTCGGCCTTTCCTGGTGGGTCCCCGATGCATATTGGTTGTCCTGTGTGTGGTCGTCTGTGGACTGTGTCCCGATAGTGTTTCGGATGCGTTTTGGGGAATACTCGTTTGCATCACCTATGTACGCAGTTTCGTTCACATGCTTGGGTGTTCGACTACGTGATGTAGCGTGGGCCGTCTGCAATAACACCATCTTGGAACACATGTGAACAACAAGCCCGAAGCCAACGTGCGGGATCACCTGAACTAGAGCCGACGAGGTCCACGCGCCACAACGGCGAGCAGACGTGAGGCAGGCGCAAGTCAGACGGCATTTGACGCACGATGCCCATTGAGCGCAACAACAGTGAAGGTGTGCGGAAAAAAAAACATGTGAAGCCAGAGCCGGACGCCTCAATTCCCGTGATGCCTTCACGATCTCGATTGCCCGCAACGGGTGCATGTCGGGGGGCGGGAAAGTAAGCCGCATCGTCGGACCCCTGAGTTTTGCTTCTGTGTGCACTATGGCCCGGATCGGGGCGGGCAGGAGAGGTCGGGGGCAACGGCGGGCAGCTGTGCGGACGGACTCCTCCCGCAGGTGGGAGCCCGCGAAGGGCCCCGGCAAGGACGACCTCGTCATCACCCACTGGCAGTGGCAGAGCGCCAAGGATCCGAGAATGCTTTCTTGCCGAGGGCGGCAACACGCCGACCATGACCAAGACGTCGCGGGATCTCGTCGACGCCGATCTTGGTCCAGGTCCGCTCGGGGCGTCTCCGCTTCGCGAGGATGATCCACGGATCGGCGGGTCGGCACCTGCACTTCTGCCTCCAGTCTTGGCCGTCGGAGGGGGGGGATGCGACACCAACACCACTAGGGGGCCCAACTCCAGCGAGGAGGTCCACGATGCCTCCCCGAGCTGGAGGCTGGGGATGTCTCGAGCGAGCGCGGGGGACCACGCCACCGGGGAGACCCCCCCTTTGCTCCTCGCCTCTCCTCGCCCTGTTGGTGCTGCTGTCGCCTTTCCTTGCTCCTGTGGCCGTGGTCCTCGTGTTCCTTCCCTCGGGGCTCCTGCCTCCTGCGAGGATGAGGAGGAGGAGGAGGAGGAGGAGGAGGAGGAGGAGGAGGAGGAGGAGGGAGGAGGAGGAGGGAGAAGGAGGAGGAGGAGGAGGGAGGAGGAGGAGGAGGAGGCCCGTGCCTCTCCTGCTCTGGACCCGCGGGTGCTCTCCTGCGGCTGCGCCCGGCCCGCCGCCCCCGCCACCTTCCCCGGAGGCAGGGCAGGCGGAGCCGACTCGGCCGAGAGAACCTCGAGGGAGGCCGCGGCAGAGAGGCGACGCGGGGGGGGGCAAAACGACGCGAAGGTCGGGACAACATCGGATCGGGATAGCTGGAACTCTCCGAGAATCGGCGGGTGTGGAGGATGTATTGGGCGCCGCGGCCGCTCCAGAGCGTTCCGGAGCGCTCTGAGGGCGCTCCGGGGAACGCTCTGGAGCGATTTATCCCGATCCTATAGCCCTGTTTTGCACTGTCTGCAGTGGAGGCCCGTGCCAAGAGGCACCCTGCGTGCCTCCAGGGTGCCCCGGGTTTTCCTTGGTGTTCTCGATGTCTCTGCGAGGAAGCCGCGCGACGGTCCCGCACCAGAAATTCATGGACGTCCTGGGGTCTCGGGGTCGGCCTCCTCGTGGAGGGTTTCTCGTGGACGGGCCCCTCCTGTGCATCCCACGGGAGGTTCCTGAAGCAGCGACGCGCGGGCGGTGGCAGCCATGCCAGAGGGAGCGGCGGCGAAGCGCCCCGCGCGGCGAGGCGGGGAGGGTCGTGTGCTCGACCCCTCGCTCTGGGCGCCTGCGTGCCCTGTGACGGTGCCTCCGTCCGGGGCTCGCGGGGGTCCGTCTGGGTCCTTCCCTTCGCTGCCCCCCTCCTTGCCCCGGGGGCAGGGAGGGGCGCATATGTCTGATATCTTTTGCGAGTGGCGTGCTTGAAGATTCGCGCGACATGAAAAAGCGCTGCGGCCGTGACATCCACCCGTTTCGGCGGCGCTTTTTGGACCCCTGAACTCCCCAGCGCTGACCGTTAACCACGGCCTCAACATTGCCCCCCCCCTCCTGCGTGTGTGTGTGTGTGCGCGTCTTTCAAGTCGCTCCTCTCGTCCACTCTCTCGCGTTCCCCCCCTTCCTCCTGCGTCTTGCTGCCCCCGCCCGAGCAGCGGGGCTGAGCACAGGACCTGGTGAACACGGACTCGGTGAATAACAACAAGACGGCGCCCTTGGCCAAGACTTATGCCAGAGGCTCAGGGAGCTCGGTTCGCCGGGCCCGTCTGCCTTTCCCACTCAAGCCGCGTACCCTGCGGGAAATTTTCGCAACCTGGTTGGAGTGCTCTCTCGGAGGAGCTGGGACTGCGTCTGCAGCAGATGTGGCCCGGGGGCGAAGCAGTCTGTTCCTGTGGCGCGTGTGGACGAGTAGACGGCCACGGCGGCCAAGGCGAGATGGCAGGCTTTCGCATTCTCCTGCGCGCGCGCGCTCCCCGCCACGCCTGCAGGAGGAGCAAGAGGAGAAGGAGGAGGAGGAGGAGGAGGAGGAGGAGGACCAGTGCAAAGCGAAGCCGCATCAACGATGTTGCAATAACCCATCCCGCAAGTTCCCTTTCTACGGGTCCCTACAAGAATTATGTTTCATTGCGGGAATCTCCCCGTTGGAAGACAACCGTGTGATAATTTTCGAAACCGGGTTAGTTCACCCGATCTTTACCCGGAACCTTAACTCACCCAGTCTAATTCGCCCAGCCTTAATTCACCCAGTGTTTCATTCACCCCGCTTTATTTCACCCAGCGTCTAATTCACCCAGTGGTTGATTCACCTGTCCTTAACTCGCCCGGAGCTCAACTCACTAGGTGCTTAAGTCACCGGGTGCCCAACTCACCCGGCGACTCACAGACCGAGTGCCTAATTCACAGAGTGCCAAACTCACCCGGTGCCGAATTCAGCCGGTGAGTGATTCACCCAGTCGCTAATCCAATCGCGAACTCACCCCGTCGCTAACTCACCTGGCGACTATCTCACCCAGTGCCTCACTCACCCAGTGCCTCCTTCACTCACCTGGCACTTCAGTCACCCTGCGCCTCACTTGCCCGGTGCCTAATTCACCCAGCCCTCACCCCGCCTTGCGCCCAGCTCACCCAGAGCTTGACTCGCCCGGCGTCTGTGCCTAATCCACCCGGCGCCTCATTCTCCTGGTGCTGCAGTTACTTCATCCGGCGTCTGATTGACCCAGCTCCTACCTCACCCCCTGCAGGAAGGGCATCTCGGCGCACACTTTTCACACTCTGCTTAAGTCGGGCGTGTCCCTCTTCAGGGGGGGATATTCCAAAATTATTTTTTAAAATAGTCTGGGGACAATGTTTGGAGCATTTTTTGACCATGTGGCATATGTTCTGACTATTTCAATTTTTTCGCCAAAAACCACCTGTAGGGGGACATGCCCGACCTAACACTATGCAGTGGTGGGAGGTGGGGGCGGGTGCCTGGCAAGAACTCATTGCTGCTTGCTCCAGATGCGGAGGCTTAGGCACTAATAATTTCCGCTCGACTGGCAAGCTTGCCAGAGAGCGCGAGGTACCACACGGAATTACTGGGCTCGGATATCTCAAGGCGTTGGAGAAAGGACGTGCCCCAGGCCACACCAAGCTGGCGACGGAGATCACCGTCCTGAGGTGATCGTGGAGGGAGCGCGAAGCGCAGAGGCTATTCTAATGTCTTCCCTCCTCCACCTCGTCCCCCTCCCTTTACTCCTCCTTGTCCTCCTCCTCTTCCTCCTCTTTGATCCTCCTCCTCGTCCTCCTGCTCCTCCTCTTCGTCTTCCTCTTCGTCCTCTTCGGGAAAGGCGCGCGCAAGGAGTGTCGAAGACGCAAAGCGGGGACGGCGGCGGAGACAACGACGACACCGACGGCGACGCGAGCTAAAGGAAGAACGAGGAGGAGGAAGAGCGAGAGAATGGGAGAGAGACTCAGTTTTTGATGCGGCCCCAGATGATTCCATGACTCGGCGACGACGCCGACGCCGACGGCGACGCGAGCTGACAGGAAGAGAGTGGGGGGGGAGGAAGGAGGAGAGGATGGGAAAGGGAGAGGGACAAGAGGATCACTACTTGCCCCGCTCACTCGGTACCCACCTCACCGTGCCAAACACAGCCGGATCGGAACTCACCTGGCGCCGAATTCACCTTGCCGCACTCACTTGGCGCGGAAGTCACCCACCGCCTAACTCACCCTGCGCTTCAGCGGAAACGCCGACACCGACATTCGCGGAAGAGGCGTTACAAAACGCCGTTGTTTTTGAGAACGTGCCAACCCAGGATTGGGAAGAAAGCGCCACCTCGCACATGGAAGAGACGCGCTAGAGCATGCCGCCGTTGTGGAGAAGAGCCCAGGCGACTTGAAATTAACGCTGCAATAGATATGTACACCAGCACCGGCACAAGAAAAAGAAGGCGCTACAAAACGCCGTTGTTTTGGAAAGCACCCGAGGGAATCTTTCACGCTGGGCGTACCCCCAGCAGCACATTTGGAAACCCTGCCCATGAGAGTTGACGGGGTTAACCGAAGGACACATATATCGGGCCGGACGAAAGGGGGGGATTGGGAAAGGGGGGATTGCAAAATCTGTTGCATGAGGCTGGTTTCGGCCCCACCGAGGGGCCCATTCCTCGATACATAGCCGCCTCCGGAGCCGGGAGGCGCCGGGAAAATCAGCTACGTGAGCTGTTTCTCGAACCCCCCCTTTGCTATCCCTCCCTTTCGCCCGGCCCGAACATAGTGAAATAGAGCGGGCAACCAGAGTGAGCAAAGAGCTCTGTGGGAGCAAGGGGGGTGGCCTTGGAGGGCCTCTTGGGGCCATCCGTGGAGCCCGCGCGGGGGCGAGAGAAGGAGGAGGATGAGAAGGAGGAGAGGAGGAGGAGGAGGAGGAGGAGGAGGAGGAGGAGGAGGAGGAGGAGGAGGAGGAGAGGAAGCGGAGGAGGAGGAGGAGGAGAGAGAAGAGGAGAGGAGAGGAGAGGAGAGGAGAGAAGAGAGGAAGAAGGAGAGGAAGAGGAGAGAAGGAGGAGCATGATGATGATGATGAGGAGGAGGAGGAGGATAAGGAGGAGGAGGAGGAGGAAAAGGAGGAGGAAAAGGAGGAGGAAAAGGAGGAGGAGGAGGAGGAGGACGTCGACGACCACCACCACGACGACGAGGAGGAGGAGGAAAAGAAGAGGAAGACGAGGAGGGCAAGGACGAGGACGAGGAGGAGGAGGAGCACAGCGAGGACGAGGACAGAGCCCTCAACATCGCCTCTTAGAGCCCTCGTGGACTTCTGTTAGAAGAGATTGGCATCCTCTCTAGGAGCTCTTCTGGGAAGTCTTGGGACCCTCTTCGAACCCTCTTGGAGCTCTCTCGGAGGCCTGTCGGGAGCCCTTGGAGCGTCTTGGAGATATCGTGAAGGGCGTCGGTGGAAACGCCAGGCCGGACACGACCAGAGGACGCGCTACAAAACATACGTAGCTGTTTTGCAAAGCAGGGTGGCCCACGGCGGAAGAGGAACGGCCGCAATGGCACAGGCAGGAGACGCGGCACAAATTGCCCAACTCACCCACCCAGTGCCAAATTCCCCCGGTGCCTAACTCACCCGGTGCCTGACCTGGTGCCTAATTCACCCGTTGCTTGATTCCCCGGGCGCCTCACTCACCCAGTCGCAACCTCAACTGGTCGCTATTTTCACTCGGTCGCTAACTCGCCCGGTGCCTGACTCACCCAGTGCCCAGTGCACCTGGTCGCTAACTCACCCAGTGCCTAATTACCCCACCTGGTGCTTGATTCACTCGAGGCGTACCTCACCAGGTGATTGATTCACCCGTCGCCTAACTCGCCCGGTGAAGCCCGTTCCTTTATTGCTTGGGGCATGACGGGCGTCATGGCCCCCGCCCCCCCCCCAACGACGTAACGCTCCCCCCTCCAGTGCGCTCTGGGCACTGCCGCCATGCGCATTGGGATCCGCGTAGGTGTCCGCGTAGGAATCCGCATAGGAGTCTGGTCCGCAGTCGTCGTCGTCGTCGTCGTCGTCGTCGTCGTCGTCGTCGTCGTCGTCGTCGCTCGTGGCTTGTCGCTCGTCGCTCATAGTCGTCGGGCGCGCGGACGCGGCTAAAGGCTGTTTTTTTTTCATTCCGGGCCGATGACGGAAATCATCTAGGGGGGTGGAGGGGGTCGATGACGTCACGTTTCGCGCCAGCGGTATCTGGGAATGCTTAGGAATGACGGAGGACGGGTAGCGCCAGCATGTAAGTGGCGATTTGCACTACAACGCCTGTGTACACCACAGTGCCTGCCTGCACCACAGCGCCTGTGTACACCACGCCGCCTATCTACACCACAGTAGCCGCGTGCACCACACCGTCAGTTTGTGCCACCGTGCCTGCGGGCACAACAGCTCTTGTGCACACCACAGCGCTTACGTACACCACATCAGCCGTGTGCAACACAGCACAACTGTACACCACAATGCCTGCGTGCATTGTAGTGCCTGTGTGCACCACGGCGCCTGTGTGCACCAAAGCAACCGTGTGCAACGCAGCACCACAGTTGCACATATATATATATATATATATATAACTCGAACTTTGAATCCTTATGGCCAAATGGAGCGCTTGTGGATTCCACAGTAAACAATAGAAAATAATTATTATGGACAACGGAGCGCCGCTGGAATCTACGAGTCCTCCCGAGTCCGCCAGCATCACCCTAACTCCTTCCATCTGCGTCCTGGAGGCTCCAGCTAAATTGGCCGTCCGAGAACCAAGTGGACCGATTCAATATAACATTATGCGGTTCGTGCTGAGATGCGCACGTGCGCTGTTGCGTCAACCCGAAAGATGGGGAGTGAGGAGTAGGAAAAGGAGAAGGAGGAGGAGGAAGAGGAGGAGGTGGTGGAGGTGGAGGAGGGGGGAGGAGGGAAGAACGCTGCATTCGATTATCAGCACGTCCCTGGCGTGGCGTTTCGGTGTCCGCAGCAGATCCTCACGTACATGCTCCTTCTACCTGTCCTATGCACGCAGGCATTGTGGTGTACACTGGCGCTGCGTTGCACGCGGATGCTGTGGTGTAGACGCGCGCTGTGGCGTGCACAGGCGCTGCGGTGCATGCAAGCACTGTGATGTACATAGGCGTTGTGTTGCACATAGTAGCTGCGGTGTACACATGTACACCGGCGCTGTAGTGTACGCAAGCACTGTGGTGTACACGGGCGCTGCGTTGC